TTGGGTGCTCTGCTCAGCGTGCACTCCCATACCCTACGGGGCCTAATGACTTCACTGTTTCAGGTTCAGTTCCTGTGCTTTGCTAGGTAGGCATTTGATGTGATTATCTCTTATCACTCTCATATTACTCCTGGGAACTCGGTGTAATTACTCTTATTTTTCTGTTGAGGAAATTGAGGCTCCAGAAGGTGAGGGGGCTACCAGCCTGAGGTGCCACAGCTTGTCAGTGGAAGAGCCAGGCCTGGCTGCCAGGTCTGCTTGTTTGCAAGCCCCGCGTCTTCCCTAATCCTTTGTTCCCTTGACCTGTGCTGTCCGGTTGCCCTGCACCCACATGCAGTGAGAGCACCATTGGGAGCAGGTGGTAGGAATCAGTCTTGGGTGGTAAACAGCTGGCCCTCTGCCTTAGGAGCGTCCCTTGGCTCTGGTGGCCTCAGAAGCACATCATGTTCAGACTTAGCAGTCTGTTGATTCTGGAATGCTCTCCGTTGTGGCCTGGATCCTAATCAGGTGCAAGCTGCTCATCCCGAGGAGAATTAGCGCTCTTCAAGGACCCTGCATGGCTTGTGTGAATGAGCTGCTTTCTCCCCCTGCCTTTAAAGACAGGTCCTGAGAGCCATCAGGAGTAGTAGGTACAAAACCTCTCAGCACAGTGTCAGCCCTTAGTACGTTCTCAACAAATGTGACCCATTATTAGCAACAAAAGAGCGAGCACCAGCCCAGCTCATCCCTCTGCAAATTCTAAGACCTAGGAATTCCTGGAACCCAGAAGGCATAGGTGTGGTTGATATCTCCATTTATCACAGCACAAACTTACAGCTTTGGTCTTGCCAAATGCCCAGTTTATTTTCTGTTCATTGATGTCCTCTCTACCAGGCTCCCTGCTCCCTCCAGCCAGTGTGCTCTCTGAAGGCTGAGTACTGAGAGCCCTTTGAGACATGGCAGCCCTGAGAATATTCTCCCAGTGCCCGTAACCCTCCTCTCCCCCACACCTCCACACGCTGTAATCGGAAGCAGGTGAAAATGTCTTTTCATTGTCCCAGATGCTCTTCTCTTTCCACTTTTTACTTTACATAAATCACTTCCCTCTGTGAGATGTGTGTAATGTTGACTGCAGAGAGCATCTTGCTGTTGTATTGACTTTTAGCCGGTTCACCCTCCCCTAGGGTGCAGAGGTGGCACTAACTGAACTGTCCCCTCAGTACTGGAAGCCCTCTGCCCAGCAGAGGTCTGGGCCAGGTGTACCCCATTATGGCCATGTCTTCAGGCCTTCAGGAGATGTGAGCATTTCCGCCTCTGACATTAGGCATATTTGCGATGATCAGAACAGAGAAGTTTCCAGAAACACAGAAGTGAATAATCAGGCACTGTAGTTTAAGTTCACCAGCTCCCTCAGACTGGAAGTTGGCTCCTAGTCATTTGCTGACGCCAGCTTGCCAACTTCAGGTGCATTAAAGTATAGAGCAGCAGGCAAGATGCCCAGGGACTGGGCTATGCCATCGCCCCAGCCTCTTGTCTGTCCTCTGCAGAGGCTCTATTGAGGCTGATCCTCATGCTCCTCATTGGCTTGTGTTTTATTAGCATCCAACACATAAGCCCTTCAGCTTCCGTCTGCAGCCATGCCTCATCCATCCCTTCACTGGTCAAACCCCACCTTTCCCATCTCTCAGCCTCCTACCAGCTTCTAAAAGCAACAGACAGACTTCCCCTCATCCCCATTCTTTTTTCTCTCTTCATACTGGAAATGTGGATCTCCCCTGGGAAAACCACTTCCCCTGCAACCCTCTTACTAGGGCTGTTTGTTCCTTGAACCCCCACATAAAGTTTGCCCTTATCTGTATTCATTTCGCAGCTAGAGTACTCTTTACAAAAAGCAAACCATGTCACTCCCCTGGTTGAAACCCTCCATGGGCCTCTCATTTCTCTTAAGATAAAGCATATAATTCTTAACGCGGCCACTAGTCCTTCTTGTTTCTCCAGACTCATCTAAAACATGTCCCTCTGGCTTCTAGTTCATGTGTTTTCTGTGACTGTACTGTCTGCTGGCAGTGTCTCACCCCTGCCAAGCTCACCCTTGCCAAGCTCATCCCTGCCACGGGGATTTGGCACATGCTGTTCCTTCTCCTGGGAATGATGTTCCCTCTTTGACGCATTAACTTGTGTTTATCTTTTAACTCGCAACTCAAGCAGTTCACCAAAGATCTCTTTCTGACTGCCAAGCCTGTCTCAGTCTTTTATAACCATGAATCTCTCCCTTGGGGCACTTTCCGGAGTTACAATTTTGCATTTATGTGTCTAATCGGCCAGCATTCTATACGAGCTAAAAGCTTCGTGAGGGCAAAGACTGCCCATTTTATTCATCTATGAGTCCCCCAGTTCTTGGCAATAGTAGATGCTACACTCGTCAAATGGATGGATGGACAGGTGGGTGGGTGGATGGGCAGATGGATGGATGGATGGATGACCAGGACTCTTCCCCCAAAGAAATAACATTTGCAGATACGATTTTGAAGTAGGAGAGAAACACACTCAGAGACTCCAGCTTCAAATCCCATCATCTCTTTTGTTATAGACTGAATCATATCCATGCTTCATCTAACATTATGACAGGAAGGACATTGACTTTATTAATTTGTGCATTCATCACATAATGAATCACTAACTCGGTAGCAGAAGAACATGCATTCAAACCCTTGTTTTACTAGAAGTCACAGTTTGCTGGAGTCTATAGACAGGAAGATACATCATTACTTTTCAGAATAAAAAGGACTTAGAACTGGGACTTTGAAGTGCTCACTATGGTTTTAAAAGTAAGCTCTGTGGAGCTCTAGGTTTCTTGAGTTGGTTTGGGGCTGCTGGGGCTGCGGTAGTGGGGGACAGGCTTGGGAAGGGGGCTAAGCAGGTGGGGCTCTGACTGCCCACCTGCTTTACAGCCAGAGTCTCCACTTTTTTCCGTTTTATATACTGGGATGCTACAGTAGGTTTTCTCTGCTAAAAGAAGTTGAAAATGGCCATATTTCTGAAAGCTCAGAAAATGGTTAATCTGGCTGAAAAGAGGAGTGAGCAGGGCAGGCTTCTTGGAAGAGGAGGTGTTAGAGCAGAGTCTCTCTCTTTTTTATTTTTAACTTGACTTTAAATGCTCAGTTAAAAATTTTTTGATGATAAAAAGTGGAAAAGAGAAAAAAAATACCCATAATCTCAGAAACTGCTTATTTACTTATAGAATTTCCTACTATTTTCCTGCAAAGCTGAAGTTGTCTATTAAATTGATATCCTGATTTTTTCCCTTAACATTATAATATTTATTATTTTTCCCATGTTACAATCATGTTTTCAAAAGTATTTATAACTTGGAAATTAGGCAAAAGGATGACATCTTTTCAGGGGCATCCTGGAACGCTCTCTAGCCCCTTTCTACTCAGGTATGATCCATGGACCAGCAGCATGTGCATCACCAGGGACGTACTTGGCTTGTGGAATCTTAGGCCCCAACCCAGACTCGCTGACTCAGAATCTGCCTTGTATCCATGTGATTCTTGCACACCTTAAAATTTGAGAACAGCCTGTGGTTCCACAGGCTGCCTAATTCTCGAGGGCCCAGCTTCTGTGAAGTTACATATTAACCTGTCGAGGACTGGTAAGTTATAAATGACTTTTGCCAGAAAAGATGACAGTGATTTCTGTCTGGCAGAAAATAAAATCCCAAAGGTTATACAGTTTATTGCCTTCTTGAGTATTAACCAGTTGTGCATCTGATTTCAGAATTCTTTTTTTTTTTCCTGTGACTACACATATGTTCAGATCCTTCTTTGAACTAGCTTTACTATCTTGCTTATTCCTTCAGTAATGAATTAAATAAGTCTTTAACACGTGTTCACTGTATTTTTATGTGGGAGTCATGTTTTAACTTTTTGCAAATCATTCTTTGACAGCCAGATTTATTATCATCATATTTCATTTTGTGATTGATCATCACCAATATAAATAATTCTGTAGTGAACATCTTCGAACTTAAAACTTTTTCTGTATGTTATGTTTCTTGGCTTTGGGTAAATTTTCAAGTCTAGAATTACTGGATCAAAGGGTAGGAACATTTTTAAGATCAGCAATATTGGAGTTTATCAAATAGGCAAGAGCAGAAGAGTATTTCAGGTGGTAAAAAGCAACATCTTCGAGGCAAAAGACCACAGGTCTCCCAGGGACATAACTCCAACTAACCGGAATGTGAATGAATCCATGTCCTGCGAGGGGGTAAAAAGGTAGGAAGGAGATCAGATTGTAGGGAGCCCGGTACCCTGAATTATATACTCAGTATGAAGAGAAGCCATCGACAGTATAAGCTGAGAAAACGACGAGACGAGACCTGTGTTTACAAAGGTCACAGGAGGGAGGCCTCTCCAAGTTTCCTGAAATTGTGCTGGTGAGAGGAGACCAGACCTGAACTGGATATGGAAGCATGAGGACGGAGAAAAAAGATGTTTAGAGAGCGGGGCTTGACCAAGTTCACCAGCTCGTCGATGGTGGATACAGCCCCGCGTGTTAGCGCTCCTTGACTCTCGCCGTAGTCCATGCCGCTGCTCCTTCCTTGGTGCGTTTCTCCATGATGTGACTTCTTAGAACCGTAGGGTGCCAGTAGCGATGGCGCTAATAGGAGCTCCTCCATGTGTCAAGGGTGGGCTCTGCCAGCTGCCATGCTGGGGGTCTGCCCGCATTGTCCCCTTGAATTCCCTGGGGAGGTGCTCAGAGCATGAGAAAAAGGAAGCTCAGAGAGGTGAAGAACCTTGCCCAGAGTCACACAGCTACTGAGTATATGCCACAGAGAGTCCTCACTTCCATTCCTAGGGTGACTACAGTGGTTTGCTGGCATTTCTATTTCATTTGTCTCCATGTAGGAAGGAACGGTTTCTGCTCTAGTTCATGCCAGGTGTCAAGCCCGGACTATGCTCCATCATGCTATGGACACTCCCAGTGGGGAACATTCTCACTTTCGCTATGCCTCCTAGGTGGTCTTCGAGGCCTTGCACAACCTGGAGCCCCGTGGCTACGTCGTGGGATGGATCATCGCCATAAGTCTGCTGGTGGGAATCCTCATCTTCCTGCTGCTGGCCGTGCTGCTCTGGAAGGTGAGTGTGGCGACGCAGGTCCCCATGGAGCCCCCACCTGTGGACGCCCAGCCCTCCTACCTCACCAGGGTTAGAGATTCTTTGGAAGAGCATTCCTGTTGGAACTTCCTTCACGGCGCAGGTACAGCACGCAGAGGGCAGGGTCCCCTTTGAGCAGCGAACGCAATCTTGGCTCCTTTCGAGGCCCTTCACAGCTGAGGATTGAACTAGTTTAGAGGGAGAGCAAAAGGCTCCTTCTGCCTTTTTCTTGCCTTCCCACCACTCCTAGGAAGGTGGGAGCCTAACTCCAAAACAGAAGGGTGGGGAGTAACAGTTGGGACTCGAGTGGTTCACCATTTACCTAGGGAGAAACAAACAAACAAAAAAAAACAAGAGAAGGAACCACAGAACAATGCTGTTCCCCTTCCCCATGTGGAATATGAGAAAGTTTTCTGCCCAGACAACTCGGGTAACGGTGATAGGCTCCGCGAGTCCTGCCTGGGGGCTGCAGGGTAAGTTCTCCTGCCCCGCAGAGGTGCATTGGGAGGCGACCCCAGGTGCACGTTCGCCCCGCCTCCTTCACCAGGGAACACTTGCTCATCCTTTGTATCTTGCCTCTCGTCACTTTCTCCAGGAGAAAGGGGCGTCCTCACCCCCAGGTCTAGGATTGTGTCTTTGTTTCACACTCTTCTCTCAGAGTTCTGGAGGCCTCTGTGTTCATCAGTGAGGGTGTCAGCCATTATCTGATGAAGGTCTCTCTCCCATGGAAGATCTGTTCCCGTTTTCACTGTGCCCCAGCTTCGGGAAGGGCACTGGGGACCGTAGCTGGGGCTTCCTGATATTTTAGCTCTGCTTTTCCAGTGTTCCAGGTTTCAGATGTAGAGGGAAACAGCTTCTATTATTTTGAGGGATGTTTTAAATTCAAATAATTAATTTCTTTGGGATTACGAAATAACTTGTATTTATGGATCAAACAGAGTAACATATTAATAAGAAAAATTAGTTTCATTTATTGGTAGTAACATATCAATGAGTAAAACATTCAGGAATTCACATCCCAGAAATAATCGTGGTGAGCACAATGTTGTCTCTTCTTGATCTTTTTTTTTTTTTCTGCGAAATAGATATAGATCAGGCATTCTCATAGTACCTCCTTATTTTTGAGTAGTATATTAAATTTTCCGATAATATACTTGATATGTTTTCAGGTGCAGTACCACTAAAATTAAAGCAATGGGTTCAATTATTAATCTGAAAAAATATATAATAAATACACTTTAAGAAGTCTAGAAACACAGGAAAAATATTTTACATTTTTCAGACTGGCAGTTGGACTGATTGCTTTAAATTTAGAGATACTTCACCTGAAAAAGTGTCTGGAAGTTGAACAAAACTATATTGAGCATATTACTTGAAGATAAGTTTATCCTGTGTTCGTGCTTTCGCAGCCGAGGTTTCCCTGAACACAATATCGTGCACATCCTTTGTGCTGTTAAAACTCGTTTCCAGCGCTGTCTTCAGGCTGCAGGAGTCACATTACTCGCCCAGTCCCCTGATGTTGGAATTTAGGTGGCTCCTGGGTTCACTTCTTTCAACAGTGCCAAAGTGAATATCCTTGGAGCCAAATATCTGTACAATCCTTCATTGTGTGCTTAAGACAAAATCCTAGAAATGGAATTAATGAGTCAAAAGAAATGCATATTTTAAATCTTTTATTGCATATTGCCAGTTGCCCTCCAGATAGGTTATTCCAATTCACCCTCCCACAAATGGTGTGTCAAAGTGCCATTTCCTGTGTATTTGCCAGGAGTGGATATTACTTTTCTTTTTTTTTTTCTAATAATCTGCCAATTTGTTGTTTGTTTAATCTTTGTGGCCGGATAGATTCTTAATTCTTCCTTTAATTCTTCCTTTTCTCTAAATCCTTTAAATCCTTCCGGCTGAGACAGCCTTTGGTCTGTGGGTGGAGAACAAAGCCAGCTCAGTATTTGGGATCTGAAAAGACAGTAAGAGCTTTGGGGGGTGTATGTGTGTGTCTGTGTGTGTGTCTGTGTGTGTCTCTATGTCTGTGTGTGTGTAATACCAACAAAATACAGAAATTTATTTTTCGTAGTGTTGGAGGCTGAAAGTCAAAGACCAAAGTATCAGCAAGGTTGATTCCTTCTGAGGCCTCTTTCCTTGACTGGCAGATGGCCAAATTCGTGTCCATGTTGTGTGTCTGTGTGTGTGTATCTGTGTGTGTGTGTCTGTCTGTGTGTGTGTGTCTATGTCTATGTGTGTGTCTGTGTGTGTGTGTGTGTGTGTGTGTCTGTTCCTTCTGCCTCGAGATGAGAGGAAATGCTGTCCTCCATGGTTGCATACATGGGACCGGACAAGGACACGGAGTGGGGAGATGGTGACTGTGCCCCACATTCTGTCATGGCTCGGATGCCCTCCTTCTGGCCACCCCACTTGGCTCTGCTGTGCAAGGGTGTCCCATCTCCTGAGAACGTGCTTTCACCTGCCATTTGCTTAGCTTGGCTTTTGTTGTGTTTGTTTAAAGAATGTGGTTGTGGGAGGTGGCTGTCATCGGGTAGCCAGGACCCTGAGGTCACCCAGTTCTGTGTGATTCAAAGAGCCAGGACTTGTGAAGGCAGACATCACCCCCTGCCACAGACTGGGTGAGAGAGCAGAGTGGTGGCACTCGAGGGGCCTTAACCTAAACAAGGTCTTGCCATTGCTAAGAAGGTAAGAAAAGCATCTAAAAACGTTTTTGAGGGAGCTGTTGAATAACGTCATGTGGGCCAAAACAGCTCATCATCCAAGAGCAATGTTTCATTTCAACTAACAGTTATTGGACCCTTGCTTTCAACCACACCAGGCTCGGCACCCAGAAGCAACAGTGACTGTGACTCTTCCCTGCCCTTGAATGCCTCGCCATTGAGCACACAGACCTGTAAACATAGTTGAAGGTGGTGAGGCCTGTGCAGGAACTTCTCCGGAAGCTGAGAAGAAGACATCGTTAATCCCCCGACCCTTGCACCGTAAAACGAAAAGGCCGTAGAGTACCATGTGGTAGATGAGGGCACGGGCTTTACAAGCTGACAGCTGTGTGGCCTTGGGAGAGTCACTTACTGTCTGTGACCCTCAGTTTCCTCCTCTGTAAAATAGAAACAATAGCACCTAGCTTGAAGTGGAGAGGTAACAGGCAGAATGCTTAGCCCTGCCCTTGACACATAGACAACCCCCGGAAAAGTCAGAGGACATTTCGCAAAGGAGGTATCATTCAAATCTGACCTTGGTTTGGTTTGAGTTTTCCATGGGCGGAAGGGCAAATGGATATTTCATACAGAGGGAAGAGGCGGAGAGAAAATAAGCAGGGTTTGTGGGGAGCAGCTTGTGAGGTGTGTCAAGGGAGGGCAGTCCGTGACCCACAATGAGATCACCTGCCTCGGCTGCTGATCAGAAGAAAGGCGGAAGCACAGGGGTCTGTAAGCGGAGCAGTGGTGCCACCAGGTCTGCCTGAAGAGGGAAATCCGGGGACAGGATGGGGCGAGGTCAGTCGCCATGGGTCTGCAGAGCTGGGGACCAAGTTCAAACAGGCAGGATTTGTTGACTGGTTGGGCTTGAGAGATCAGGAAAGAGAAAAAGTAGCAGTCTCTCGCTGTTTTTAGCTTAGGCAATGAATGTTTCCTTCAGCCAGGGTAAGGAAGGCAGGGTCTGAAGTCATTTTGGAAGAGGAGGAGTTTGGTGTTGGGCTTTCTGAGTGTGGGTGCCCACAGGAGACTAGACTAGGCTTGACTCACTCCCAGTCACCCTCTCCTAGCAGAGGGAAAGTTGGCAGAATGACGTTCCTGTCACTTCACTAGCCTGGGCAGCTTTCACTCCAGCTTCTATGGCCAAACATACTTATCTTGGGCATCACAGAGGCCATTTTTTTTTTTCAGCTGAAAAAACAACAACAAAAAAAAACAAAAACAAATCTATCCACAGCCACTTAAGCAAGAGAGAGAATTCTGTGGCTGGAGGACACTCAAAGATCCCAAAGGGAATATGTGCTTCCAGACCCAGAAAGTGTCCAAAACCCAAGGCGAGCATTCTCCCTCCTCCCCTCACCCCCTTGCCCTACACAGCCCCTTACCCCTACTTCTCTACACACCGGCGTTATTCTTTTCCATGGCACGCTGGCTTTCTCCACGCTTCCCTACCCCCAGCAGAAAATGGTCGCTCCAGCCGCTCCACATTAACATCTCTGAGATTGCTAGCCACGGATACAGACTGAACAGCCACCTGATTCCCAGTTCTACAAATCTGGGAGGAAGAATCTGATTGGCTCAGCTTAAGTCAAATGTTCACTCTTATCAACTGTGGCTAGAGGCAGGGAGTCGTCTGGGAGAGAATCTGACTGTCCCAGTTTGGGTCACATGATTCCTACTGATCCAAACAGCTGAGGCTAGGGCAGGAAGAAGATGCAAGATGAAGGTTTGGGGTGACGGCGTGAGGGTGGGGGTGAATCCCAGAAAAGAAGGAAATTAGGCAGATACCCCACAGGCTTTCCCCCCAGCAGAGTGTCATGGTTGTTAGCGGTGCCAAAGCTTAAGTTGTAGGCTTTTATATCATACCGGTTAGCTGTTGCTGCCTAACAAACTGCCCCCAAATCAAGTGACTTTAAACAACCATTCCATCACATCTCACAAATATGTGGGTCAGAAATTCGGTAAGCATTTGGCTGACTGATTCTTCTGCTTCCCATGACATTGAGTGGGCTCACTCGGTGGCATTTACCTGGTGGCTAGCTAGACTGGTCTGAAGAGTCCAAGACAGCTTCACTCCCATGCCTAGCACCTTGCTGAGGATGGCTGGGAGTCTGACTCAGCTGAGCCCCTGTCCCTCTCCGTGTAGACCCAGGGCCTCTCCATGTGGCCCTTCCAGCAGAGTGATCTGCCTTGTTACCTGGCGGGAGGCTTCAAGAGAGCATGGTCAAAGCTGCCAGTTCTCTTAAAGGCTGGCCCAGAATTGGCATACCATCATTCCACTATACT